GTCATTCGATTTTCGTTCGTCACTATCAGTCAACCACAATTAAGGGTAACCGCGAATATTAATTACATTGTCTAATGGAGCGAGCGTGGTTTGTTCGGTGACGCGTCCCCAAATGTGTACCTACGTAACGAAATTAGTTTAGAGCCACTGTCAAAACTTAATTTATTATTTTCCCTTTTAGGGGATCACCTTTACAAGATCTTCAAACCAAACATTTTTATGTTTACATTATTAAAAGAAGTAGTCATGGTTTAAGATCATAGCTGGAATGATTATTTAAGATCTAATAAGTAAAGACAAATTGATATTATATAATATGAGGTAACTTGTAAAGTTTTGAGTACTATCAACCTAAATTAAGTTTAGTGCTAAGTTTTTAATACAAATCGTTGTTTGGCTGAACTAAACTAAATTTTTAACACTTGAATTGACCATAATAAAGAAAACGATCTTCCTCAACGAAATACATAGTACAAGGAAAGAATTTCCCAGTCTATCACATTCTTTGAGCTTTATTCTTCTTCGTTTGTAGTTAACATTAATGCTAATAAACCAAAACTTATTAGTGGATTCTTCTCCGATTACTATTTAACTTTGGATTTTAAAACTAAAAACGTAAATTGCTTATAAATTATTGCTAGTATTATGAAAACAGTGTCTCGTTTTTAGCCCTGTGTTTACAATTGCAATAAATCAGAATAATAAATAATCTAAAGTGCTATTCGTCACAGTTCAATTTCATTTCGTGACGATTTAAATTTTTAAATGTTTTTTTCGATTGAATAAACCAACTGATTAAAAGTGCAGAATGCAAACGTTGTGTTTGTTGGTTTATTTTCATTGATAGTTAAAAGCTTGCACTTGATATTCGTTTTAGTGTGCATTGCGATAAGTGGTCCAGAACTGAAGGCTAATCGAGCGAATTTACCCGTCCAACACAACATTGTTAAATAAATCAACTGGATTATTCTAAATCAACGTTCAATTAACGTTATTTGAATGTAGTGCAATAAATTCAACACGATGGAAACTCTGTCAGATGTTAAAAACTGTTGTCGCCGAAACGTTTTCATTACAATTTATCTGTCGTCTTTTGCGAACAAAAACCAAATGCATTCCAGCGCTAGCGTAATCCTTGCACTGGCATCAGAAGCACTCTGAGCTATGTGGACTCTTATTAATATTAAACGCGACGAGACCGGGACCCTCAACAAAAACGTTTATCTGGTCTCCGTGGAAAAACCGCCAGAATTAGCAACGGAAGGGGGTGGATTAAGGCGGACCGCATTTAATCCTTCACTAAGAAGGCTTTGCTTAAACGAGTTCTAACGAGCTAAAGATAAAACAATTACCGGGGACGTGATTAAGAGATACGGAGAGCACTTGTTACGTCTTTCGGCGGCATCGAGACTCACCTCTACTACAAAAGAAAATAACTGTTTTCCTTTTGATGTTTCCTTTACCTTTACAAGATTACAAACTTACAGGTGTATGTACTGCTGCAATAACTCTGGACAGTCCTAAGCACTCCAGGATAATGCGACAGTTTATTAGCCTTGCAGTAGCGACTGTACTTCATCCTAGGACATCTCCTAAGTGAAGATAACGCAAATATACTTAATAAATTCTAATTTATGATCAGTATTTGTCGAATTCAATAAATCGCTTGAACGAAAATCCGTTCATCCTATTACGCAGTAAAAGATTCCAATATAAAATCGGGCGTGACGTTTGTCGTTTTATCACCTTGTCACTCTTCCTAATATTTTTTTTTACCTCAATTACGTCTCCCTCCTCCAGCGCAAATAACCATTCCAGAAGATTAAAATGAAATTCTTAAGAGTATTGATACTAAGAGAGCGGATAGGCGTTTGTTATAAAATTAAGTAGCGTACGCTTTCATCGTTAGAATACCAGATTTTTTATAACGGTCAGGTATTAAAAGTTATACAGAGGCTCCACCTGGATTTTATGAGGTGTAACTTTCCATTGTACTCAGTACTACAACAGATCACTTATCAGTTTAGTGATCGTATTTTGTAAAATCTCTGCTTACAATTAATATTAGGTAATTCAATCTTAATCTTGACATTTGTGATATTGAAAAATGTATATGAGCATTATATTTACATTGTTTAATCCCAAATATATGAGCTGAATTTATCTTCTTTGTTAGTTTTTAATATTAGTAATTAAAGGTTTGAAATACTCAATATTAATTGTGCCCACTGTACAAATATAAAATGTCTAAATATTTTAGAAGTATTTAAGTTAAAAATTTATTTAGCAAACTGCTACAATGTTTTTGTATCTACAATTTAAATAAACACAATCTTTTCTAAGTAACATTGAGATTTTTAGATTAAAATAAGACTTCTTAAAGTAACGACCGAGTTAAATTCAAAAGTGCCTCCGAAAAAGCTTATAAAAAATAAGAAATTAATCTGCAATTCAAAATCTTTCTTGCCCTCTTATACTTTTCTCTCTGATTCTTTTCTTTAGTAAATCCACGACAAACGTTCGGCAGAGATACCTTCATTGCAGATGTAACAGTTCATTTTTTGCTGAATTTTGCCATTTCTTACGTATGTCCGACATATAAATCTACAATAACGTCAGTGACTTTTATTTAATAGCTGTCACATTTCAAGTTCACGTTCTGAATGAAAATGTTGAATATCAAGATATATTTTTTTTGATATGTCGATCATTTGGCGATGTATGATGTTCTTTGCATCTATGTATGATGGTTACCCACCGCTATTAGGTGTTCCCATGTTTATAATTCAGAATTAGTCTCCTTAACATAAATGTGATACATTAATATTGATTCCATTAGTAATTAATAACCGATAGCTTTCCTTTCTCAAAATGTCAACCTTTCGCCACTGCTGTCTATCAAAATACTGTCCTAATTTGGCACTAGACAGATTGCCATTTAGACTTATTATATTCTATGATATTTAAAAAACCTAGGTAGTCGTTTAAAATGATGAGATGTACTAATTGCCTCACATAATTCGCACAGATTAAAATCTGTGACGAACACTTCACTTGACATCAGATCCAATATCTGAATTGTTCCCAATGTTTGTTTTTATTATGACATTATACCGTAATTTCTCCCCGTAATGAATGCAAATTGCCGAAGATGAAACAATATCGGAATCACAGATTATATTCTCATTTGACTTTTAAAATTTCACTCGACGATGTCTATGTATTAAATGGGATGTACATACATTAGAATTGTAAATTAATTACTCGTTTCGTTTACGGTCCGCGCGTGCATTTGGCATTCAAAATCGAATTCGGGCCTCGAGGCTCTACAAAACTAATTACGTATCGAAGCTATCTTCTTCTACGCTTTCTTACGTGCCTTTCACATTTCCATATAAGTTGAGCTTTAAACGAGCCAATCTATTCACGTCTACACATCAGGGGGTCGCATTTGCATATAGAACAGAAATTTATTAAATCTACAGCCAATATCCCACGTTCCGACATCGAACTTTTGCTTTTTCGATGACTCCACCGGGTTTTTATAACACTGTGAAAAACTGTGGATAATCTTATATTTATTATTACTATTAAAAGTACGAGTTATCAACGAGTAACAATACCTTGCTCTTTGTTTTTTTTTATTGCATTAGCAGTGTAATAAAGCGAAAAAACACGAAAGCAACAATAGAAGAACTGTCAAAATTAACTGATTAGTACCATTATTAATGCTTCTCTTAGCATTAAAGCAGCGAAATATTTTTATTCAACTAATGGAGTTCGCCGTAAAAATGTCACAATTCATTTGACAGACGACGGTTTACAAAGGAACTTCAATTTACTCCACAAGAATTAAATATTCGGGCTTTTAATTTTTATCCCCTGATAAAACTTTGTTATTGTAGAATTCTTACATATTTCATTTTGACTTTGCGTAGAGGCATACCCCAGTATTTAATATTTTACAAATATCACATTAAACAAAACCCGTAATTTTAAAATGACTCCAGACGCAATGACAGGGCTATTTGATCTCATTGTCTAACCACCTAGAGAAAACCCCTTTTTAGCCTGGCTTAAATTAAACTGCTGGCAAATCTGCTTTGTTAATTTGCCAAATTGTTAAGTTTCATTTGAGATTGGTGTCAAGAGACTCAAGTCACTTCGAGGGATCTATTGAAAAATATCGTCTCAATTTTAAATATTATTACAACACTTTACTATTTATTTATAAGCTTCAGGGTAGGGTACATTTTCTTTAAAGGGTATAAGAAAAATAAATGTCAGTAAACTTCCATAGTAATTAATGTAACTCCAACGTAATTTTGTAACATTTGTAACTATTAGTTATTTGGAGACGATAGTAATCAAACTATAGTCTAGTGAATATGACTATATTATTATATTTTTGCAAAACATTAGTCTCTTTCGTTCTGCTTTCACAGTAAAAATATTATGTACAAGGTTCCGACGAGCTTTATGCTCCTAGGAATGGGTTGAGTGCTGTTGCATTTTAATTAATTCTCTTTTCTATCGCGATGTGGTGTTATCAGCCTCCCGCAGGCGTCGCAGCCAAAACAAATAGCTGTTGCTCTGGGAACGTAACGATTTTGACACGGCCTTAATTCGAGTTTTTCTTCGTTGATACGACTAGTGTATCGATCCACCCTGTTATCTGTTTATTACATATTTCTACTTCGTTTGGCTTTTTATTCCTACACAAAATAAAAAAAATATTTAAGGTACATTTTACACGCTAATTGTATAAGAAAGTTAAATAAGTTAAATTAAATTGAAATTATTCATTGCCGAAATCATCACATCCTTATTATGACCGAAATTGAACGACCCTCGGAAGAAATAAAACTTTTCTTGAAAGAAATAAACATGTTTTGATGAGATTTATAATTCGATCATCTGTTTTCTTCGTGTCAAACGAGAAAAGTTATTTCAACAAAAAGATTCGCTTTTTATATTGTTGACTTTCACGCTTGTTACAGGCGCTTGATGGACAGAACATTTACAATGGGTGCTGCACGCTGCGCATCGACTACTCAAAGATGACGTGCCTGAACGTGAAGTATAACAACGACAAGTCGCGGGACTACACAAACCCGACGCTGCCGTCCGGAGACGGTGATGCGCACCAGCTGTTGACCAGTGAGTTGATGCCACTGCGGGCACGACTCGCCCTGGCCCTCGCATCCAGGATGAGTTAGTCCTCTACTACTCCGAGCACCTGGACGCTTTTCTCACCGCGCTCCGTTTTTCACTCACGTAGACTTTTGCGTTCTGCATCCAACGATACCTACACGATGGGGCAGATGTCTTTTTTTAACTATCTGTTTAATAGAACCAATACAGCGAGTGCTCTTCGTGAATCTTTTTCGTATTAGGTACCTACCTTGTACCGTACCTTACGTCTGCCCCATTTTAACTTAGCTATTGGACTTGTCTTCGATTGCTATTGTACCTTTTGTCATCATTAGGTAGTATGTCCTAATTTTATTGTCTCATTAAGTCCTTCCATCAAATCTTCAAGTTTAGGATACGCTCGCAACATTAAAATTTCACTTAATTTCTTATGCAAAAAATTAAATCCTGGACTTTGAGAAAAATACTTGTTTTCAAAACACTTAATGTTAGGCATATATTAAGTTTTTCATTTTTATTTTATTTGCAAATATTCACTGTTATTACTTTTATTTGTAGGTTTGTATTATTTTGCTTCAATCTGTTTACGTAAGAACTTATATGGTCTGACATAAATAAATCTGCAGTAATAACGTTTCCAAATTACATTTGCTATTGCGCGTTAAGCTCTTTTCTTGTTTATTATTCATATTTCAATGGTAAATATTCCCGAGGTGACTAATAACTCCTCATAAATCCGTATTGCACCGTAGAGGATTGTAATATGTGAGGATCATTCCAGCACTCCGAATGTTACACGCGAGTTTTATACAGTACTTTATAAAATATGTACGAATTATGATAGTAGGCCTCTCTCGTAGTGTTAGTTATTATAAAGAAAGCTGTTGTTTTCTATATACCCTAGACTCTTTTTTCTGTGCTCTAGGTTTATAAATTGCTCTTTTCTTTTATACTTAACTTTTTTATACCTTTGCAATTTAATTATACTTCTCAAAAATGCCAGAAAATAATGTGTGGATCATCGTCACAGGTGGTGGAGTATTAGCTCCGCAGTTCCTCGGTCTGGGCTCAGGCCTAGCTTCACCGTACGGAGTAGGAGTTGGCGGTGTGGGCCTGCCAGCCTTCGGTGCTCTGACCCTGACACCCGCGTCCCCCGCACTCCGCGCTCTGGCTGCGCCCCCGCTTCCATTAGCCACCGTGCTCCTCGTGTCAAACCTGAATGAAGAGGTGAGTACGATACATTACACACAGGACATAAACTTTACTTAAACTTACTGGTAGGCGGAATTACAAAATCCATTTCTTATAACCGCCCCGTTTCTATCTTACAAATCAAAATTAAGCAAAATGTAAAAACTTAAAGAGGAACTGTTAAAAGTTGAATCTCTATAAAGTTTCGACTTAGTAGTTTAATGTTTATTGGCAAATTTTATCCATTATGCTAACACAAGCCAGTAACGTCAATCAGCCATATTTAATCGTGGGGTCCACATTCAAAGACGAACTAATGCAATGCACTAATACGAACGGCGTTACAGGCTGTTATATTTATATATTCTACTTAAACTCCTTAAAAATAAGTTGCTAATTTATCTATAGATATGATGTCAGATATCTTTTACGACTATTTATAATACTGTCTCTTTCTCTTTCCTATTGTTTTAGATGGTCACGCCTGACGCTCTCTTTACCCTTTTCGGTACGTGTGCACATACATTCCGTATTTTATAATAAAACATTAATATTGCTCCTGAGCCCTGTCGCCTGGAAGACAAATTGTCAGCTAACATTCTCGATTTCTGTACTGATAACCGCATCCGACGACTTGTCGAAGCTTTGCTTGATAACACTATCGAATCTAAATTATCTCAATTCTAAACGCTTTTATTAACTCATATGACAATTTGTGTTTCAGACACCCTAGTCGTAGCTAAATTATTTAGAACTATTTACCCAGTGTTGTCTTTTTTCAGTTTTTTTTATTTAATTTTTCTACCTGTGCTGTCAGTTTCATACGGTACAGTGAGATATATACGCACCTCTGTGACGTTTTATATTATTTGGTCTTTTATTATTTTTAAATACATTTATTTACCTAAATATCGTTAAACGGACGGCGAGTCCACTTTTAAATCTAAGTGGTGCCCTGTTACAGATATTTTACTAAAAGAGAGGTACTTTGACGAAAAGTTATAAAATACAATATTAAATACAGTAGTGGAGTGATTGTTTCCAGTAATTTGCTTCTAAACAGCGGGTAAATACAGGCCGTTGTTAACCGCTAAAGCATTAATCGAAAGCTTAACGTGACCAACTTAGAGCTTGAAGTTGTTTCTTCTTGTACTTTCCGACTGTCCCGTTTCTCGACATTAGTATATATCACATGACATTGTTATAAAGTATGCTGTGTATTTCGGAAACACAGTATCGTTGTAGTTCTTAGTTTAGATAAAGTTTGGACAACCTTGAGCGCTATATTCCAGTTTTGTGAAAATATTTAATACACTTTGAAAACACTTACGACTCTAAATATGATAAATACATTTTCCAATTACAAAACAAAGCTGGGACACACATATGCATTTATTATCACACACTTTAATAAAATTTATTGCGTATTAGTACAAAATTATGTTTACGTATAGGAGTGTACGGTGATGTGCAACGGGTGAAGATTCTTTACAACAAGAAGGATTCGGCTCTCATTCAGATGGCAGAACCTCATCAGGCCCATCTAGGTAACTGTTTTGAACGTTTAACCTCTAAAATTAAAGTTTATTTTGCTAAAGATGGATTAATTTCTCTTCTCGGTAGTTTGTTTCCGTAACATGAAGTGTTAGGTACTGTTTACCTGCTAATTAGATACTGTTTCAAATATCAGCAGTTTCGTTTAAATGAGAATGATTGAGTTTCATAAAGTATTAAAAAAAATTGAACAGCTATCCCTTGGTCGCCAGATAAAATATCATTAGTTCCATTAAACCACAATTGTGTTTATAGCAATGACCCACATGGACAAGCTTCGCGTATTCGGCAAGGCAATGCGCGTGATGCTGAGCAAGCATCAGACCGTGCAGCTGCCCAAGGAGGGGCAGCCTGATGCTGGACTCACCAGGTAATTCATCACTCATGTAATGTACAAGGCTACCCAGAAAGTTTATGGAACACTGTCTGATACTTTATTATACAAAAAATATAATAAAAATGCAACTAAAAGTTACAATTTCGATTTCCAGTTACATTTCATTACTAAGTAAATATAATTATTGGGTCTATTTGAAAAAAAGGATCTTTTTGTAAAGCTGACAGAATAATGTAATAGACTTGAATTTGTATTTGTATATCAAGTCCCTTCTAAAGCCATTGTGTACTGATTTTTAAGCGTATTTAACTGAAGTCGGCAAACTTTGTCAGGCTCTCATGAAAGAAAACGTGTCAAAAAATGAAACTTTGATCAAGGAAAATTCCTAACATATTGTTATTTATATAATGGAATTGTAATGACGCACCAACCTTTTTGCAGGGATTACTCGCAGAGCCCCCTGCACAGATTCAAGAAGCCCGGCAGCAAGAACTATCAGAACATTTATCCACCAAGCGCCACTCTACATCTGTCCAACATTCCGTATGTATTTGTTTAATTTAGCATTTATAACAATTTCACATTAATTCATCAAAATCAACTCAACACCAAAAACTTGATAAAAAAAAGTACTTTATAATATATTTATAGTACTAATATTATATTTATATCAAGTAATATATTCATAGGCTATACAGGGTGAAAAGAACAAGCGTACCGAGAACTGGCATAGTGGTATGTCTGGAATTTTCGGTAGGTCATAACTTACTACCTGTATAATATATTGCCTTAGATAATCTGTTTTACGTTGGAGATACCTGGATTTATTATTAACACTGTCTTATTCATATTAGACAAAACCTTACGTACATGACTGACAACAGCATTTCATGCTAATTACATCAAAATAAACTGTCCTACATATGCCATCGCGCTACATGTATATTTGATATTTGACAACGCTATGTCCTGACTGACACATTTGACAACATAACATTTGACTTTGACACATTTCATATATTACATGTTTAACACATTAAGTGTGTAAATTACAGAGCTACCATTTCCGAGGACGATATCAAGGACGCATTCACTAAGCGAGGATTCCCAATTAAAGCTTTCAAGTTCTTCCCGTAAGTAAACATTTACAACATTATTTATTTTCAACCATATTTGCATTCAAATAGTATTGTCCTTTATTCACTTTTGTAATTCCAAGGAATTTAGGGTTGACAACAAATTTTCTTTTTGGGGTTTATTCGTACACGCAGAGGCTTTTGAAGGATTAAATCCTCTGCGTGTACGAATAGACTTCTTAAAGAAATATCTTCGGAAGAGACTAATCATTGGTGAGTTGATTGTTGTCTAAATCTCTGTGTAGGTAGCATTGAGTAACTGGTATTATGTTGTACTGCTCTTGTTCTTGTTGATGTTATTAGTTACACCTATTGCAATTTTCACCGCACATGAATGAGTCAAACATGTGTACATGAAGCATTGAACCGCCATGATTAAATGCCTCATTTTGACTCGTTGGAAAAAACCTAATCATGTATAATTGAATACTCGATAGATTGTGAGAAAACTGAACTATAGAGCATGCGAAGATTATCCTCACCCGTAGATTTATTGTATAGTCCCTTTTCGTTCTAAATCATACTTTCAAAGAATGTATTCCAAATAGATAGTTCGTTATAAATGTTAGCGTGCTATCATTTAAGTATCAAATTAATTTCTGTTACTGGTAATTCCAGGAAGGACCGCAAGATGGCGCTGGTGCAGTTGCCGTCGATCGATGACGCGGTGGCAGCACTTATCAAGATGCACAACTATCAGTTGTCAGAGTCCAACCACCTCAGAGTGTCTTTCTCTAAATCGAGTATCTAAACCAACGAGTGACGTCGCAGCGAATATCACACAATCGTCGACAGCCGGCGAGTCTGCGCTCAGCCTTATATTCTACGGGCGACCTGATCCTCTATGCAGACGTAAAATGTTATCTGCGTATAAACTTTGAATTTGTCTACACAGTAAGCGGCGTTGGCACAAAAGTACACTGTGCCAATCTTATAATATGCGCAGGTGACATATTACAGGTCATAGCTTGTTTGATGTCCGCATAATGATTCAATCGCCAGCATTTAAACTTTTTTGATGTAAGGCCCCGCACACATCTCGACGGCGCGAGAATCCACGACCACTCGACTGTCGACATCGTACCTCTCACACAAATCGAGAATTTCCCTCGACTGAAAATTAAATATATCTGTATTACGCTTACTCGGATCACTAGAGATTAAGTGCTATTCTATTTTCTTAATAAATACGTACGTTTACTATTACTGTACATCCTAATCTAAGATACTTTCATCACAATTGAACGCTGCTTGTAATCTACTGTATTTTAGATACTACATACTTCCATCTGAACGTATTGACGTAGAGAGGAATTATATTTTGTGTGATATTCATTCCATATTTGAATAAGTATATGATTATTTTATTTTTATAAACTCGGTAATGTTTCCCGGTGATTTCAATAAACGATTTCGTTATATCGAATGTTCTGGGCAGTATGTGTTGCAATTAGATTGCGCTAGTTACGTTTTCGTTGGGCGATTGGAACGCGATATATATATATGGTCGCGAGTCGCGGTGTCAAACATTGCCCTGTTTGTATTGTACTGCAAGGCACACTATCCCTATAATAGATTATATTTGTAATTGTCATGAACACATTGTTGAGATAACTCTTGGTCATATATAATTTGCAGTTATTACTCTTAAATTGTATTTTATACATATATTTTATTGTCTATTTTAATATGCACAATTTACTATTATTGCATTTCATTGTAAGTAAATATAGTTTTGTACGCATACACATTTTTTTCTTTTTTTTATTAATGGAATGTTATGTTTAGAAATGTGTATGTGTGTGCAATATTAGTTATAGAAATAATTTTAAATAATGTATTTTAGACCTAACTGTTTTCTGTGGCCATCGGGACCGTGTCCCGAGGTGTTTCGTCTACAATCTTCATGCTTCCATACTTGTTTCACTTACGAGAATATTGTCTGTTCTTACTCGGTTCATAGTTATTGACGGTTAGTTAGTGTAATCACAAACTCTTATCGCTAAGCATCTAGTTGTATATCACTATTTAAACATTATGTTCAATGACATAATAGTGACATGATGCATTTATTTTGATGTTAATTTATATTAAAGGTAGCTACAACATATATAAATGCTCGTGGTATACGTTTCACTAAGTGGTTAATTTTAGATAATTATTTATTTGTGGTGGGGTGCGGTGTGGCCATTGCAGATTTTAAAACAATGTTCAGTGTATTGCTCTGAGCCACACTGCCACACTGCACTGTGGAGTTGCGAAGGTCTACTAAGTATTAGCCAGATCTGATTTTTCTCTTTGACATATTTAATCAACAGTATTTACACTAGGTCACAATTACTTCATTAAACAGTATTTTAGTTAAATAACTGTTCTTGGATACTACGTTTTGTATATAGACACACTCCGACTTCGATGAGTTAGCTTTCAATCTTCTAGCTCGGACTTCGCTCACTTCCCGATTGGATTTCACACATCTTTGCCTTCTTAAAGTAATAAAAAATATGTCTAGTCCAATGCAAAAGAGATTAAGTTTGTGAATTAAGTGATTTTACGTTGTCAAAATCTTGCGGTTCGTCTCAAATATGCTCTGGTAGGAAAAGCTTTTGAAAGGAAGAATGTATTGTGGAAGAATTTCGTCGGTAGAGAAATGTCCCGTGAGGCCCAGGCTCTAACTTAGGACCAGTTTTAAGTGTTCAGTTACACGTCCAGTTTATGTGATTAGGCAAAGCATGCGTGAAACATAGACCTGAAAATGACGAGTTTAGAGAATACTGATACCATTTGCAGATCGAAGCGTTCGCTCCCGGTCGGATGACATGTTAATTAATAATGTAAGTCACAAATATCAATCAACGCATTACATATCTCGCGATGCCACGGTCGGTATTCAATTAGGATAGAAGAGGGAATGAAAGTACAGACCAGTGTAGATTAAAAAATCGCAACGGTTCGTACGGATGTGTAGATAGAATGAATCACACCACGAGGAAGACGCTCCACACTCGTGCGGCAGCTCACTTCCCACGTATGTCTAATGTGGCTAACGAAATGTTCGTGTGTCGCAGCGTCAGTCCCACGTATCCCACGTGCGGTTAAACAAGTTTATGTGTCTCACAGCGTCAGTCCCACGTATGCCACTTACGGCAATACAATTTTACGTGTTACGCAGTATCAATCCTACGTATGTCACGTACGGCTACGAAGTGTATGCACGCGATAATACTGTCTGGTCGATTCCATTACTTTGAACATATCTCATTATAATAGCCAAACAAAAGTGATTTGTTTTTATTTTAGAAAACACTTGTGAAATTATAAAAATCACATATTTACACTATTATCAAATGTATAATATATATCACGTAACATACATAAGAAATAAATATAGAGCTTAGTAAGATGAGTAAACTGAAATATTAGATTGTCATTATGAAGTAAGAATTAATAGAAAAATTTAATCATACAAATTGTATTAATCAGTACCTACCTATATAAGAACGTAAAAGTAGTTATTTGGTTTAGATAATGTTAGGTGACCAGGGTGAGGTGATATTTTGCACGTTTTTGAAAATGTTTTTCTATAGGCGCAGGATTCTGTGCCTGTGTATTGGAATGAAATGAGGAGTGGGCTGCGATTGGTGGTGGTCTGTGTGAGGTGAATTCGGCGGTAATCGCATTAGTAATTTTAATAATAATAAATGTATTTAAATTAAAGAAGAAATCACAAAAAGAGATTACATATCCACTGTACTCAGCGTAGAACGCTACACACACTCGGCTTTCTTTCCATTGGAGGTTGTGTTGCTGTACTACACTCGGTCGCTTGTGCTCAATGCGTTACGTTCGGACTGTAGACATTATCGATCACTATGTGTGTAGCGTTTTCAGGCCTAAACGTTCTCTCATAACATTGGTATTGACTAATAGATAATTATAGGAATTTATGTGTTTAGAGAAGTATTTTAAATATTTAGATTTTAATGGTAATATTATTAAAAAATAATAAATAGATCAGAGTTTAGGATGAGATGCCAAATTTAAAGTCAATACACATTATTTTAGGTAAAAGGTAATTGAAGTAATCTTAACATTTATTGAAAAGTTAATGAAAATGTTACAGTTAAATTATATTTGAGAGTTTTATTAAGCGCAATATATGCAATTTTATTCATTGTAAGTGAACATTGTTTCAATTTGTTAGTTAAAGTTATGCGTTGATAAATAATGTGAAAGTTGTTTTCGAATGTCTTATTGTACCATTCGCGTGTGGTGTTTCTGTGGCGTCGCTCGCCTGGTCTGTGGCACTCCGTCACGCGCCTACTTCGTACGTGTCCCGTCGCGTCCCGTCGCGTCCCGTCGCGTCCCGCCAACATATCCCTGCATATCATTAAGAACATGCTTATATTTTATTGCGCTTCTTAATATTTATCTCTACTACTACATATATTAGGTGTATTTAATATTTCGTAACGATGTGAATAAAGGCCAACATATCAATAAATAGAGTTTTGGCTAAGGCGCATATATACACTTTCACACTCCTCGATTCTGCTTAGATGTTGTATTCTTTCCTTTCACTCTGCGGCGGCCGCTCCGAGCGTTGCAGCCGCACCCATTTTATGTGTTGTCATCTATTTCTTATTTTTAATTTTAAGCCTTTTGTGTGGTTAATTTCACTCTTATTTTTAATTTCATAATTAAACTATTATTATCATTGACACTTTTTGTTCTTTATTTTCAATCCTATACCTTTCTACCTGAATCCCTTCTATTTCTATTTCATACCAATTGTCTACGATACGTCAGCGTTGCGGAGTTTGTACAGAGACTACATTTGTTTATATTACAACCGGCATCGCTTAATTTCGTTACACACTAAGATTTAAGTTCATCCCTTTATTTCAGAACACCTGAACGAGTTTCAAGAAAGTATTTGTAAATAAAACTTATAAATGTTAAAGGGGATCAATATAATGAAAATATGTACATTAGTACACAATTGGTATTCTAGACATATTCGTACTTATAGAACTTAATTACTATCCTGGCGATATCTACACTCGACTACAATTTGATATATCTATTACCTACGCTTCTAAACCTTGTGAATAACCTCTATTATCTAATTTCAACGGGGTCTTCTGACTCGAGAAAAAGTATTTTGGCGATATAACATGTTTAGTTGAATCGTAAACGGAGTAAGGGACTTAAAATATTGCCAATGATAATTATGTTAAATATAATATTATCAAGTGGAGTATTACATTTCGCACAGGGTATAATGTGAATTAAAATTATAACACTGCCCGCGGCATTTGACCATCCGGGGTGGTTGTTTTGTGTCCGTGCCGTGTCCCTTATTCCTACTGTGTGAAAAGAACTGAACCATTCCGTATAGAAACGTTGAATTAGCAAAATTATTGTGTACCTGCCACTTAAATAAATAAATATACACTAAACACAACAGCTCTGCAAGTAACAAGGTTGCCGATAGCATGCAGGAAAGTGGCAGTGACACGCATGTTAAATTTATCTACGGATGTAAATATACACGAGTATGTTAATAATTACAAATTAAATTATTAGGTTCTATAGTAAAGATTAACATAATCATTACTTTAAGATTAACTAGTTAAATATCCTGTCTTAATTTCAGTAGTAGTTCTAGTTGATTAATGGCCTACTTACTGAAACTCCTTCCTAGTAAATAATCATATAACCACCTACCTATGTTTCTTCGTTTTAATA